TGCAATAAATTTGGAGCAGCAATATTTCCTTTTTTCTTTGCAAGTGACTGTACTTCTCTGATTTTAAAATTACACTTTACAGTCTAGCTTTACAGTTGTTTTCAGTATACAATACCCTACAAATTGATATCTCCTATTTTTTTTCTCAATACACAAAACTGGATGGATGCAATGTAGGCTGGAAAAGTGAAAATTCAGAGCTCTAAGATGGGGATGCCAGGTTCCCAGAGAACAAACTGAAGATTATGTAGTTTGAGAGATAAAAGGGATTGAGATCAGATTCCAAATAACTGCTGAGGCTTTTCTCTATCTATTCGCTCATGTTTTCATATTCCCTACAATAATGCTCTGAGATTTGCATTGAGTTAATTTAATCTAAAGTATAAAAACAGAATAAAGGCCAAAATTTTATGTAATGGTGGCATCTCCTCTTTCAATCAAAAAAACATCTCTGCTTCCCATCTTGAATGCCTCATAAATGCAGTTCAAAACCTTTATTTAATTATATACAAGGTGGAATGCAGCAATCCCCCTTCCTTCAACACTCATAGTCTAAAGACCACATCATGTTTTCAGAAATCATCACACATTATGAAGATTTCTTAAAAAACATGTGGGACATGAACCTGAAGCTCTAGGGGGAAACATTATCTGGTGTGTTCACAAATGTTTTCTGTGCAACTCAAAGACTCATCTGCAACAAAACATTTAAACAAAGCAACAGATGCCTAGAAACATTGTACTGTTATAAGCAGTTAAAGAACATTTTTCTTCCAACTTTTTCTTTCACTGTGACATTTTCTAGGTACTCCTATATTTCTATATTCCTAGAAGTATTAATTTGTCCGCTTTCTTCCAACGTTCAAGAATCCTCACCGAAATATAATTCACGTATAAGTCAAAGTCAGCTTTCAATATGGCACAAAACTGCAATAAATACAGTGCTAAGTAGACATTTTTATATCATATATTTTATCTTTTGACAAGTCTTCCAGTAAGGCCACAATAATTTTGAGAAACTGTAGTGAATACCCACCAGGATTTGTAAGATCCTCAGACTTTCTCACTGAAAAGTGAAACAGCAAGGCAACAAAGAGCTTGTACCCAGATGCAAATGAGTATTCTTGATAGACCCAAAGCCTTTTCTGCAGGAGTGTTAGACGTCAGAAACACTGGATCTTACAACTTCAGTTTTGCCAAAATTAACATAAAAGTCAAGAACATGGATATGTGTCCAGAGATGTGTGTAAAAAAAAAAAATCAGTGATACTTGTAGCATAGAAAATCTACTGAAAATACATGAATTTAAGATGTTTCTTTAATTCAAAAAAAGATAATTCCACAAAGTTATCAGGACAAGCAAAAGAATTTCTTTCTGAGGAAAAGGGCAGAGTTTCTTAGAATACTTTCATTACCAACATTCAGGCAAACTGTATTCAAAATTAAAACCAGTTCAAAAACAGTGACATTAATATGATTAAGATCTAATGCAAAAGCTTTCCAAAGAAATATAAATTGTCACTACTTCAGAAATTTCCTGTGTTCTATGTTATGTGTGGTATAAAGTGCTGTGAACGAAGGACATCAGGAAATGAGTGACTAGTCTGTTGCTCATCACTGACTGTCAGTTTGCACTACTGAAAAACCTGAAAATATTCCCAAGCTCATGGGTCCTCTAGTTTCTGCTTTGAGGGAAGTCCTGTCCTTCAGATATGTGATATGCATATAACACGGAAGTGTTACTACTCAACCTGCCAATAAATGTGAGGCCTCGGGGAGACTGCAGCACTCTGTGCATGCTTCAGCAGCTGTGAAGGAGCAGGATAAGCATCAAACTCTCTAAGCCGCTGTCTACATCATGCTTTCTAACTGGATGAATTTGGCTAGAAATCTAGCTGAAATTTCAACCCTTCACAAATAAAAATAAGAACATATGACAAAAATGTTCCTGCAAGCTCATACAAAAACATGTATTACATTAGATCTTAAAGGGACAGTTGATGACTCCACTGGCAGGGCATGAGTCTTTAGCAGATCTTCTTCTCCATGTCTGTAGTGAAGGCACACAAATGACCCTTAACATTAAGAAAGAAGAATTCCAAATCAGGTATTTGTTATGGACCTGACTTTTACTGCAGCAAATTCCCTAAGATTTATTTGGAAGAAACTCATAGGAGCTAACGCCATAAAGCAAGTTCATTGTTTCAAATGGCTGAAATGACGGTGGAAGCGTTGCGTAATACCACTTCGTAAAAGAAAGTGTATAGCCTGTATGATAATCTAGAGGCTCCAGCTCTGTCCTTTTAACTCAGCTTCTTAATCTTTTTTATATTTTACACAGTTGTTAGTTTCAGAACTGGTTCTCATTGACAACTTTAATGTTCTTTTACTGTGCCTACTGTTTTCTTCTTTCTTTCAAGGGACAAAAGCAGTGCCTAATGAAGTTTTGGTTCCCATTTTTCTTAAACCCTGGCAAACTCATACCTGAATTTATCCAGGTTTCTAACATAATTTTTCATCCTTGGTGTCTTAAAAGACTAAAGTCTTCTAATTTTTTTTATTAATCTTTTAAAATACAAAGTTGCCTCAAAGCTTACTTACCACTTCACAGTTCACTCTGTTCCTTTGCACATGTACTATTTTCATTCTCTACTCAACAAAACCTCATATTCTTAAATTTCCAAATGTCAGCTCTAACTCAGTGCTTTCTGAGTCCCAAGAGATGCTGGTGCCCATCAGCATTAGAACAGACAAGGGACCCTATACATAGTGATCCACCTACTGCAAGTTCTTACATGGGGCATCCAGAGCATGTAGAACAAACACCCCCATATAATCAATGCCAAAGGAATTAACAGGTTTAAAGTCAGTTAACTGGGTGGTAGAATAGGAAGAATCAATGGGCAGCCTCTAGGGATGTTGTGAACAGAGGACACAGATGTGGGTCACACATTTACAAGTTCAGAAGTTGTTCCCAAAATTATGTTTGCAACTGGTGCTTGGAAACGTATGCAAATTTTCTTTCCAGTGTAGCAACACTTCAGGCAAAGGCTGAATACAGAATTATCACAGTTGCCCACAATAGACTTAGACACTTCACTGGAAGACTATGGGGAGACTAAATTTGGGAGTAAATACAGTCTTTGAATGTAAACCATGTTGACACTAGCATCGAGAGTAAACTAGAGTAAAAAAAAATAATCTGCAAGATTAGGGTTGTTTTGTATGTTTGTTTTGTTGTTTGTTTTTTTTCTTTGTTTGCTTGTTTGTTTTTTTTTTTTTTCCCAGTAATGGCTATTCTCATTGTAGATGAATCCAAATTCTTTGGTACAAGTACAGACAACATATATGACTAACACACATGAAAGCTGAATGCTTTGGACTGTAGCTTGTTAATTTAATAGCTGATTCCGTGCTGTTTTTTTAATTAGAAAAAAAAAAGACTCTGGAGGTTTTGTTAGGCTTTAATAATAACAGGCCCTAAATTCAGGTCAGTAAAACTCCAGTGATGCTGAGGGAATTGCCTCAAGAATGAAGCTGATTTGCCATTTTGCTATGAAGATTCATTGAGCTACTTTGCCCCAGACATGGAATGGAGGGTAGACAGTGATTTGTCCAAACGAAATTAATTTAGATGTGGTTATATACAGGTAGTGCAGAACGCTGTGGTTCAATTACTGCTTTCAAATGATAAAAAATCCCTACAACTACTAAAGACCTCTTTTTGGAAACCTGAGAGGAAATGGATGAAACAGGACCGTGACCCAGTTTTATAATAGTGGGTACAATAAAACCATACTCAAAATGATTTATTCAATGCTAATAAATATCTTCAGATACTGTCCCCATCAAGGACTACTTCAGCTTTTGTGCAAGCAGAAATGTAATCCAAAGCTACAGACTAAGAACAATTTTAAATGTATGCACTGGGGAAAAGTAAACCATACAAAACTGAAAAACATAAATAGAAAGTCTCCACTGTGAAAATAAAATCTAAAAATTGCTGATAAATGTAGGCAAAGAATGTTTTGGAAGGTACAGCTACCAGAGCTGTAAATACTCAGGCCAACTATAGAGCCTTTGCTAGAAGTTTCAGATCCCTACCTCTAAAAGGATAAAAGGTTGTTCTGACACTGCAGATGTGACAAGATTTCACTGTGTGCAGAAACAGGGACACTGAAGAAGCTTTCTGCCTCTTGGAGCCTGAGAGTTAGTAAAGGCTCAGGAAAACAAAAATTTTCAAAAATCAAAAATTTTCAAAAATAAAAAAAATCAAAAATTTTCTTGAGAAACAAAATTTTAAAATAAAGATGCCCTGAACAGTTGAAAAGGACGAAATTCTTTTCTCAAACCAGTTATGCCCACAGATCTTAAAGGAGTTTACAGCATATAACAGAACTTGCAAGAGGAACAATATGGAAGGCAGAAAAGGATGAGAAGAAAATAATTTCAATGGGGAATATTTTCTTACATGGCTTTGTGCAGACATTGGTTGTGTTATATAACAAAGGAGAATAAAATGAACAGAATGAAATAGAGAGCTTGCAAGAGAAATACAGGTCTAGATGGATAGGCAAAACTTTAGAAAAGCCTCTGAGGAAGCAGCATACATATATGAATAGTAGACACATGGGAAGACTAGCACCCAAATACAGAAGAAAAAGGAAAACCAAACCACAAGCGTTTCTTATTTTAAGATCAACTAGCACACCAGTTTGACATGTCTTGAGTTGAATGAGATAACCAGCCTCTCAGAGCAGGGACTGCCTCTTACAGGGTGTTATAAAAGGTGGCACAATGGAGCCCTTATTCTGTATGAAGATTTGGGGCATTTCACTAATAAGAGAGCCTCCATTTTTAAAATTATTTTTTTGAGATACGAGAACCATTTGTCAGAGATTATGATGGACTATGTGATGTCTTTTGTCCCAATCTCAATGGCTGGATTAGAGAATACTTAACCATAATGAATAACCAGGTGCATAACTGTAGTCTAAAGTCTAAAAAAATCTTGAAGCACTTGACTTACCTATGAGAGCAGACCTCCCTGGACTGATGGTCATTTGTGTTCCTGATGGAGAGGTCAGCACTGAACGAGTGCTGGTCCCAGCACTGGAAAGCACCACTGTCATGTCTTCTAGGTAAGGAAGAGGTCGTGGAGGCTCTGGTAACAGATTGGGAAACTGAAGTGATGAGCAGCACTGCAGTAGAAAATACTCAAAGACATCAAGAACCCCACCACCAGCCGTGCTGCAATATTACCATTTCAGAGGGGTAGTCTAAGCAACTTTGCGTAGCTGCTAAAGGTGTGCTGTGCCTCGTGTCAGTTAAAGTACTAGATAAGCTATTAAAATAACATCTGGATAAGTATGGCTGCAAAATAATAAAAGAAATTCTTTCTGAAGGCTTCTGTGCCATTCTAACTGACCCTTTTCATATGTGATGAAGGTACCTGGCACCAGGAGATACAGCAGCTTGGACGAAAGAGCAAATTTATACAACAGAGAAGCTGAATCAAATGTCCATGGCAGTCAAATTAAAACTTCAAAATGTCTGCCACAACCTGGATCAAGCCCTGATTAAATATGGTTATAACCCTGCCACATCCTGTGGTATCCTTAGGCAGAGTTCCAAAGGACTAAGAGTTCAGAGCTCAAGAGGATCAGTCCATGATAAGAACTGTAGGATTTAACTCTTTACTAACCACATTGCTATTTTAAAAATTGTGTTGCCTGCCATTCCCAATTCCGTCATGGAAAAGATGTGGTATTTGATTTAAGTGAGTAGTGGCTTCATTCCCTTTCAACTACATCATGGCACACACTATGCAAGTTTTTTATTGCTGACCACATTTAGCACCAGAAATACAAGTCATGTATAACTGAACATTTTCATTCCATCAAGGAACTTAAAAAGTCATTTGCTGAAACATAAGCAGCTTGCATAACTCACAGTAACTTTCCATCTTTAAAAACTAAGCCTTTTATAAAGATCAGAAAAGGATTTAAAGATCATGTGGGAGTTTTTATTTATAGGCTGAAACCGAGCTGATTTTTTTTTCAGATTTTTTTTTTAATGCTGAGCTTCAAGAACCAATCTGGATTCACGGGGAAGTCACATGAACATTCATAAAGAGGTTTTAGTGTTGTCTGTGAAACCGAGAAATCTCACTTTAAAATTTCCTTTTGAAGTTGCATCATCCATGGGACCTGTACTCACTCTAGTCATGAAAGATGGATGAGAGCTGTAATGGATGCTTTAATGGTGTTGCACCAAATAACATGGACCAGGTTTCAAAATTTGACACTTCACTATCAAATATACAGAAGCACTTACAAAGTCTGGCTGGATCGTTCGTCTGCCAGGAATGGAGAAATGAAAGACGATGAGTTAGCAGGAAAGGAAACCCCTCTCCCATACATCCAATTACCACCAGGTAACACTTCCACCTATACTTCACAGCTGGCATCATCTTTTCAAGTCACCCACCTGGGCTTTCTGTCTGTTGTTTAGAAACCCAGTAAAAAGTTAACTTTGCCCTTCACTGAACTTGAGAAGTGTTTTTTAAAAGTGCACTAGGTTTATGCACTTGGTAGGTTTGACATGGGTCAGTATCACAGAGCCATGTATGGAAAGACTGCTCAGCAGAGGAAGAGCACTTCACAGGGAATAACTGGCATGATTCTCATTTCCAGAGACCCACTTTAAGAAATGGTTAATAAATGCTTTTCTTAGCTAGCAAATCTGAAAGAGTGAAACTGAATATCTCAGGACTCAGAAGTGCAGTCCCTGTGTTTAGATTTCTCCTTATCCATCTTCTTTTTACCACCAGCTTGTTTTAGGTGATGATGCCTGGAGAACAAATGTAGACTTATTATTTTCTTAGAACAGGTCTGTCTGTATGTCATTCTCTCTTTCCACATCCACTGATTAATTCTGCAGTCTAGATGTGCCAGCAGCCACGTTACTATTGATGTAAGTGCAAAATATGCTGGACTTACCAAGAACCAAGAGCTGGGAGCTTTCAGTTACCTCCCCACGAAGATTGGCTGCCTTGCAGGAGTACAATCCCTGATCTGACAGAGAAACATTTGCAATTAGCAGTAACCCATCACGCAGATGGTGAGCAGAGGGTAGCTTGACCTTGTTCTTAAACCAAGTAACTTCTGCTTCAGGAACGCCTGAAAAAACAGTGACAAAACATAACACAAGTAAGATATAATATTTTTAAACAATGTTATAGTTGCTACAGACAAAACTGTTAAGATAGAACAATTAAAATGAGATTTTAATATGACTTCCAGGTGACATTTTTTGCAGTTTAGAAGTGATAAGTCAACTCTTTCACATTGCCTGCCTTTATGTTTCTTAGATCCCTCTGAGATGAAGCAAAGGAATTAAAACCAAATCAAAGTCTTCCCTTTCAGTGTACCAGAGTTGTACAAGTGAATTCTGAACTAATCACTCTTAAAAGCAAGCCTCTCTTGGATCAGAACAAAGGTTAATCTAGTTTAGTAACCTGTCTCTAGAACAAGCCATAAACTGGTGACTCTCCCAGCATCCCACCAGTTTCAGCTCAGAAACTTTCTGGGCCAGAAGTAGTTTCTGTGCAGTTAGGAGCCCGCCATGGACTTCTCGTCTATTAATGCAGCCAATCTTCCTTTTTGAAATTATGCAAACAACTAGGACTTAAATCTTCAGAAAAGCAGTTTCACTGGTCTCACCAGGAGTCTTCAAATTATTATAGATCCATAACCCATTATAGGAAGAATTGCCTCCTTTTGTGTGCTTGGATCTAAAGTCCACATATCTCTGTTGAGTACTCTCTTGTAAGAATGCGTTCTGATGTGTAGCTGGCAAGACCTCTGGTCTTGCAGTAGATAGCATTGCCTAGGTGTAGGGATTCCTACCTTGATTTAAATGCATACCATGTCAGGTAATTTAGAGTCACTGACTACTAAGCAATTGGTTTATGTGATAAGGTATTAGATGTCTCAGTAGATGGGATAGACCTATGGAGCTGTGCCTGGGAGGAAATGATACTGTGTGGACCCATGGCTGTAAGGAGTAGCACATCACTGATCCTGGTAGCTGTTGCAGTGCACGCTCTCGTATTTGCAGTACTTTCTGTATGAGGGAGGCAGTTAATGTCTTCCACATGAACATGCAGTTCCCTTGTGTCTCCTGCAGATTAAGAACATGTGTGCAGGCAGTTATTCTTAGGTCTCTGCTGCACACCTAAATTCTCCCCTGCATTACATCAGAGCAACGTGTTTCTCTGCCCATTACCAGTACCTTTCTGGTTGTGCCTCCACGTCAAAACCCACTCTACTTGTTGATTCTGTGGCCTTAGCATCAGAAATACCTCACTTGGGCTGTGCTTACTAAGCCTGACCACCCATTTGTCTGTGTTCGTAGTGACTGCCTGGCTGCAGGTGCCTTGATAAGCACATGCAGATGGGAGTGGGAAAATAAGATTTTCCTTATTCTTTCACATCAAAGCATTGTGGCCTTTTTTCCACCTCTTCCGGAGTCACCTAGTGACCTTCCCAAGACACTTTGAATGAATATGTCTGAGCTCAGCAGCCAGGAAGGAAAGCTGAAGACCTGTAAGGGCAGAGGGCCTTGTCCACATTCAGAAAGTAGCATGGAGCAGGCTGTAAAAGACTGCAGGTTTTTTCTCGCCTTTGTTTAAGGGTAAATATCATATGCTAATCTGGACCCTCCATGGCACACCCAGAACGAATCGCTGTTGTCTGTGATGCTGTTTTCCAAAGGCTTGCCCTTGTTTGGGTTGCTACAGCTCAGAATGTTTAAAGCGGTGGGCTGTTGGCCTGTATCTGACTGCACCACTGGGATACGGCCAGTGCACAGCTTTCCATCTGGCTGCTGCTCTGACCCATGGCATGACCATGGCATGACCATGGCATGGGTGGGCTGGCCACCACTTAAAACTTCAATCTGATTTTTTCCAGAACATCCAGGCAGAGTCCTCAGGGGAGTTCAGACATCTGCCAAACAAAAAACAACCCCAAACCTTGAGTTTATTCAAGCCTGCATGTTTGTTGTGTTTCTCTTGTGGAGAATGGAAGTTTGAGAGGTGAGCTCTGGAGAGCAAAGGAGAGAAAATGGAGACTCTTCCAGTTCTGTTGTCCCTGAGATGGAAAAACATATCCCAGTATTTGTCCTCTCAAGACCACCCTAGCAAAGGAATGACCCACTCTCTCTTTCAGTCTAAGCTACTTAGAGTGCACAGGTTTTCACATTATGGCTATTGCTGAACTTACGCGTGGAAGCATAAAGAAATGTAACTCAGGAATAAACAATCACATGATTATAAAATCAGAAAGTTTTCTCCAACGCTAACCAGGGCTTATCTTCTTTTCTTTGTTTTGAATACTAAAATTGGGTAGAGCTTTCAAGCTTTTCTAGAAAACAAAGGAAGGTAAGTGCAAACAATGGGAGAATGGGAAAGGATGAGGAGGGCTCAGAAAGGTAAAGAGGGGGAAAGGGACAATGAGGATTTCATCTGACCACAGTTTTAAAGAGCAGAAACTCAAATGAAATAAATACAGAGAGACAGATGAAGCTAATTTTCTCTGAGATAGCTGCTGAGATAGTCTTACTCTAGAAAGGCAGGTTCCTCTTGTACACACTTCACTAACATAAACAGTAACAAGGGGCTAAAGGTAAACCCCCTCACTGTTAGATATTACTGTTGGGTCTAGGAAAGGTTCACTGTATTCCTGTAAAATGTCCAGAAGCTCTATGTGAATCTTTTTCTCACTGCTTCTCTACAAGGTGTGCTTTTTCTCTGTCTTCAGTGTGAAGTTTCCACGCTAGCAGATTATTTGAAACTAACCTGTACAGCTGTTCCTAAAGTTTGGCTTCATGAAGATGAGCAGTGTATGTCAGTGAGCAGCAGCTTCGTTTTCCTTTATGCTTCCGCCTTTAGTAGCACATGTGAGCCTCAGGACAGGACCAGGAGGCAGCCAGCACTGGCTGAGCAAACATTATGCAGCATTGCCACAAGGGGTAGCAAGAGCCTTTCGATCAGTTTTATTGGGTAACGGTGAACAGAGGAGGACAGAGGTCTGAGTGTGTTTGCCTTGCAGAAACAGTCACAAGAGACTGGAAGTTTGAGGTGTGTCAGGTGGCAACAGAAATCACTTTTCTGGGCAGGCACGACTTCAGGTGGTAAACCCAAGTGTATTCTTCAATTTTCCCCTTCATCACTGTGTGTGTATCAACCACAAAGAGGCTACCTGGGATCTGTAGCAAGCAGAACTGTGCATGCCAATCAAGACAATTTTGCTAAAGCAGGAGCTTTTGGGGAAAGCAATACAAGGATCTAATGGTGACTTGTTCCCAATGCCACAGTATTTTTAAAATAGTGACTAGCATGTTAGAATCTGGTACAACTGATGAACAACTTTGGGTCATAGAGCAAAATACGAACTAGAAAATACAATCTCCAGGATATAGAACAAATAAAGAGAAAAGGAATGGTTAGGACAGTTGAAATAGCTGCAAGCTGAAACATCAGGGAGAGAATAATATACCAGACAGGATGGTAACATATTTTAAGTCACTCTTCCAAATATGTTCAGACTTAGCGGTGTCTAATGATACATGACGCTTTGCAGACAGGTGTCTCTGTTACAAATCTTGTGCACTGATGGATACTATGGAGAAATGTCCTAAGAAGTAAATTTTTGAAATTGATTCCTCATTTCACATCTAACTCTACCTTCAAGAAGAGCTTGGGCCAGACTGATTGAGACTTCTGGTACTTGAATGAATAGCTGCACCAGTTAAGCACTGAAGTCAACACAAAGCTTCCTAGTGATAATGATGGGATCCAGATTGCCCTCGCATCCCATTTGGAAGTGAAATTGCCCCTATCAGAAATGCTGCTGGCTTTCTGAAGCTCGGAGGAAATCCTCCAGCTGGAAGTCACAGGCATCTGCAAGACTCATGAGTGACTTTTGGGTGGAAGTTCCCTTAGGATTAGTTGTGGAGAATTCTGGGATTAACCACAACCACCTAACTATGTTTAAAAAAAAATATTCTTCCACCTCTGTAGTCAAAGTGGTGAAGTTATGTCAAGTAAAATTCTGATTTCAAGCATGAACAAAAACCACAACACCGTCTTTGTGGTATAACCAAAATAGAGTTTCATTCTGACATAACTCATATCAGGAGCCAGTTAAACTCTAGTGCATCCATAGTGATTTTGTTTTCCTTTGTGTTACAGCTAATGTCTATGGATTTCAGCTCAGAACACAGAATACCGTGCTTATGTCTTTCATAAGAAGTTAAAGAGCAATATAAAATTACTCCCTGGGCTCTGGTAATGTTCTCTTTCATTACCTTTTGTTTTTAAGAACACTTCTCCAGGCTTATCAACACCTGACAGCAGCAAGTGTATACTTATGTCCCTTGACAGCAAAAGCAGATTTAGATTATGACATAACTGATCCTTGTACTTAATATTTCTCTTATAAATATTTATTCTGCTGCTACCGCTGACACTCATTAAAGACGTGTCCTTGTACAAGTCAAGGCATCAAGATCCAGCACATGCATGGTCCTATACTACATCGTCCTATACATCACAGTGATAGCCACACAATTTATAATTGTGAGATTAACAGGCAGCAAATTCTTATCTGGAACAAGTCTCAGTTACTAGTGGGAAACTATTAGAAGGAAGAAGAATACAGCTTTATAAAGTTGTTCAAAGAGCTTTTTCTCCTAGATAAGTCTTCACATAATCTCTGGATATGTTAGTTTGCTTTCTAATCATGTTCACTTCATTCTCACACTCTAATTTCCTTTTTATTATCGGATGTTATTGCAGTAACCATTGCACACTAACTTACTATGAAGGGATGGCCATTTCACTGTTAATGCCTCCTGGGGAACTGGCAAACTACATAGCTGTAAAGTTCATCTGCTCTGAAGCAGTCGCTAGGATATGACATATTTGCTGACTGAAGCAACAGTTCATATCCCTCTTCTCCATAGTATAATTCTAAGTATAATAATCAAAAAGGTATAAAAAGGTTGGACAATCACATCCTTGATGCTAAGACAGGAGTTTTGTGCTTATATTAGAAGGAAAATTACATTTACTCTCATGTTCTCTCACAGGTTTTATGAGATGGTTTATTTTCCAGGCATAGGTGAGACAGCTGATCGAAATCATTCTGTTCCTGGATCTCTTCCCATATGTAGCTTTTTTTAATAATGGCTGTTGAATTATTAACATTATTTGTACGAAAACATTACTCTTGTGCCTATAAAATCTGTCTGCTCTCATCAGTCACTCCCTTATTCCCTACGTAACACCACAGCTTGTGATGTAGGACTTTGTCATAATTTCAACAGTATTAATCTCTGGCATCAAACATAGCTGACACTTTCTGTGGAGGCAGTAGGAGAGGATAAACACTGATGGACAAAATTATGATTTTAGAATACCTCTTCTGTATCACAAAAGAATCCAAAATATAGTAAAACTACTAGACAGGAGGAAACATCTTCCTCTCAGAAAAGGCACGGAATCTGTGCCCCTGACCATGCTGTGGTCTCCTCCTGTAGTTTTCTGATGCCATAAGCTGTGACAACTTTGCTCAGCCATATCATGTTCTTTTCATGATGTCTTTACACTGAAGGGAAATGGTTGCATGTCTTAAATCAGCAATTACTGTCTACATCTCTGGGGCCTCCCCAACTGCAGCTGAGAGAACCCTGTGAGAGAAATCCAACATAATTTATGTTTATATAATACTTTTTCCCTCACTGTCAGTGCAGGTGTCTGTGCAGGGGCCTGGGGAAAAGGAGTACAACTTTCATCTCCTCCTGCCTTGAAAGGCACTGGATATCCATCTGATAGCAAGAGAGCGTCTAGTGTCTATGTCAAGATAGCTACAGAATTACTGAATTCACTCCTTCATGAATCACTAGGAGAAATGATACTATATTTCCCTTTCATTAATCCTACTGGGAGCAATTAATAATTTGGGATCCCAGCCTAGTGTTTGCACAGCTATTGTGCATACTTTGCTAAAGAACAGATGACCGAATGGTGAAACTGGAGACAAATACTCTTTTCACTTAAGTATTTGCATAGGGGTGTGGTTGGCAGCACTTGAAGAAGGAAAACTAACAACTACTAAGTGCTTAAAGTGAGCAGGAAGCATAAAAAAAGCAGGACATTTGTATATTTGCAGTGCAAGTGTTTATTTGGATTCATTTGAAGCAGCTGCTAGGGACAAGAAACTAAAGCAAGGGTCTAAGGGACTTCATAAAGGTCTCTACTGCAGATATTTGTGTAACACTCAGCATGGTTCACTTTGTGTTTTATAAGCTGCTCCTTTCCTCTCCCCTTACCTCTCACAGTATGCATAAAAGTGTAATGAATCAAAGGTCTGGCCCTGGGTTTTTAGAGATTTCCCAGCTCTCTTTCTTACCCCACCCCTCTTCCCCATGGCAACACCATTTCCACCAATAGCTGTAGAACTGTAACACACAGATAAGGTCAACCCTTTTTTAGTCACCATTGGAAAGAGGCAAACTGCCATTGTAAGACTGAAAGACATTCAGCTCTTGCTGGATATCAGTTTCAGGGAGGAGCCTGTATCAGCAGAATTCCTCTGAATTCCTGTGTTCCCAAGATGAAAAAAGAAAAATCAGAAAAGGAGTGTACTAACATGCCCTTAATTTGAAAAAAAAACCCCAGAGTTTGGGAGAAAAAGAAGAAACTAATGGGAGTGGACTTTGAAAACTCTATCAAAAGGGAAATGAATCAGTTCATGCTTGTATATTCTCAAGAAGCATCCCCAACAGGTAGGAGTGTGTATCAGTTTTGTTGTACCCACACGATACTGCGTATCTCTAACAAAGGTGCCTGTTGTATTGTCCCAGACCAATTTTCTTAAGCAACTACACTTTTCTTTCTGGTATTGGCAAAAGCAGGACAATTTCTATGCTAAGAATTAATGGAAGCAATGAAGCTTGTCTAAATCCTAGTATCAGTGTGCAGTTTCATCCAGCTACGTGGAGACACCGATTTAGCAAGGAAACCCCCAGAAATTTATAGCCAAGGACACCTGCATGGGAGAACCAAGTAATTTCTCACCTGCAACCTGGCAGTTAATGGTAACATTTGCTCTCTGGATTGTTTTCACTGTGCTTCCAATATCAACAGTGACAGCAGGCGATTCAGTGTTGATCACAGTAGCTCTTGATGCCTTTATCAGTGGTTTTCCTGTAAAAAAGAAGCATCACAGTTCATCAGACCAAGCACACTGGGCTCACATGGCACAGATGGCCTGGGACACTCTGTGTGAAAGTCCCTACACAGGACACGCCGATAAGGGAAAATGCTGAAATGCCACCTGCTCTGTATAATGTTGTTGTGTCTCCAAATTCCACGGGAAAAGCTGTCTTGGAAAAAGAAGAGGCATACGTAGAGTATAGGCAGAATAGTGTTAAAGCCATATGGACATGTGAAACAGCTTAGTCAAGAAACACCAGTACAATTGGAGCTGCAGCAAGATGTTTGCCTGGAACTGCAACCAAAATACCACCCTTTGCCAAAGGTGGTATTTTGCCATATTTGCCATAGAAAAAGGAAGCCTGAGTGATGACTACGGGCACATAAATACCACACGAGGTTTAGAACAACATGCAAGCTGCTTCTGCACATTGATTGTGTTTTCTTTAACCTACAGTGGACATGCTGGGACTGGGAAGACCTGACCGTAACCAGAAAGTTTTCTCATAATGGCTAGCATAAGAAGATGAGGGACATAAACAAGCTCCTTTCTGTCAGATAACCTGGTTTGTTCTATCTAAAGCCTGTGCCAACAGTGTTCTGAATTAACATTGTTCATCTCTGACAGAGGTACCTGCTCTGACTGTGACAAACTTTTCAAATTGTTTTCAGTGTACTCTCAACTTCAGTGGCAGCGAGCAAGTGGGTCAAAGTGTTCTTCTGCCATTGTGGCTATCTATGTGGGGTTAGCTACAGAGTTATCCACCATTGGTGGCTCGAGGATCCTTCTGCAACTCCTTTATAAGAACACTGTAAAGGGTTGCTTACATGACATGGAAGAGTTTAGAGATACTTGGCTCTGAGAGAGGGGAGTGAAGCAGCAGAGGACAGAGCTGTGTTAAGGTGTCCCCCTGTCCCAATCAAAATGCTTGGCATGCAAAGCTGGTGGCAGGAGGGGCAGAACATGATCTGGAACTCTGGTGTTTTTGACTTCGTGTTGTATTTATTCATTTTTATTAAAAAACAAACAAACAAACAAAAATCTATTAACACATTTTTCTCCTCTTTAAATAAACGGTCAGATAAAATAGGTTCAGGAAGAAAAGAAGAAGGTGAGAAAAAGAATTTGGTTTCACTGAGCTCATGAAGAGTCCTGAAAATTTTATTCAGCCTTAACTATAAATAATTCCATATAGCTATGTTTCCAGGGCTTTTAAAAGTTGTCTTTTATCTGGAATTCCTTTCATATCAGTTTGGAGTCTTTTTGGTATTTTAAAAATTTTTATTTTAGTGATCTTAATGCTTAAGAATAGTGATATAAATTTCATTTTATAGTTGAAATATCTTCAAAAGTTTTCATGTTTTGTGGAAAAACCTAAAGAAAAGAGAGAAAAATTCTTTAGCTATTCATGAGCCTTTTCTTTTCCTTATCGGTTTCCACAAGCTCATCAAAAGATTAAAATGTGTTAGCTGTTCAGACCATAAATGAATATCAAAACACTGAGAAAAACTGAAGCATATTCCACTTTTTTTTTTCCATCCGTGTGTTAAACTAATCAGAAAATTCTTCAATGAAATAAGCTTTTAGCCCCACTTCTGATCCCTCTAAAGATGGTTTCAGAGCTTTTCTTTCTCTTTTTTTTTTTTTTTTTGAGAAAGTCCTCCTATTATGCCAAAAAGGTTATTGCTTTGTTCCAAAAAACTGCTCAACATCTCATTTTTATATTTATGGTCTCATTTTATAAGATGTTCAGGTCTTTGCCTTGGATGTGAGATGGAAAGGTATAACATTTTCTAAGCAGAGTTCAGCTTGAGTCTGGGATGCATGAATATTAGTTCATCTAAAAGGTTAAATTACAGTCTCGATAAGAAATTACAATCAAAAAGATAATACTCTTCCTGTACCACAGATATGCTCCTAAAGTTCATTTTATTTTTTTATAGCTTCACAAAAAAACTGTCTTCACAAATTACTTATACAGAGACTATGGCTTTTAAAGTCACTGGAGCAATATGGACAGAATAGCAGTTTTGACTGATGATTTTTTGACCTTAAGTACAGCTTCTTGCTGGTGCAACACAAGAGGGTTACTGAGGAGTTGCTCCTTTTAAAACACTACACTCTCTTCGCAGCAGCACCACTACCCTGCTGCCTGGGATTCAGCAAAAATATTCCTGACTTACAGCAGTGTTAAAAGGCTCATTTTTGCCTACATGTAATATGTCACTCTGATGCAGATCCTCCTTTTCCACTCTGGTGGATTCAGTTGTTCTCCTTTTAAAGGACAGTCTCTTTCCAGTTGGTTCATTGATCATCAGAACTTCACCACTTGCCACAGCAGCATTCTTAGATTTTCTTTATGCTCCTCTCACCTGAATTTTTCTCTGTGTTTGGTGTAAAAAACTCAAGCTCATCAACAGCTCTTCCTTCCTCTAATCGTACATGGGTACATTGGCAGCTGATGGTCACTACTCCCACACTGGAGGCCTCCAAATGCTTCCACATTCTGAAGCAGTGAAATGAAGAGGTCTGAAAAATCAATAAGCTTTCTAGCCTTCCTAATGTGTTTCCTTTTGCCCTAGTGATAAATAGGATCTTCCTTTTCTAAGACATTTCTGCTTTTTCATAGTCCTTAGCTGTCTGTTCTGTCCCTTTATCTTACTGAATGGCTCCTCATTCACGTTTTTTGCTCTGTCCTTCCCTTAGTCCTGGAGTAGTCGTGAGCCTGCTGATATTGCCTACCGATGAACCTAGAAGAAGATGTATTCATGTACGACTTCCCATTTCCCTTGGCTTATATTTGGTTGAATTTCATTTAGAACTGAAATCTAAACTAACAAAGAACACTTAGTCTGCTTTAGAGTTCAAGCATTACTTGGGATATATACACAAAGAATTTAATTTTTTGTGAATTTCTACTTTCCAGCAGTTGAAGCGTGTCAGTCATGCTTGTGATATGGTGGATTGTATACAATAACAGGGCTTGATGTGCAAGGGGCTGGCTCCTCAGCTCTGGTATTTTTCAGGCTTGCCTAATGTACATCTGAATAAGTCCTTCGATCAGCCTGTTAGACTTGAAGAGATCAGAGAACCATACAAACTGGGAGGCTTGGACCAAGCTGCCCATATAGACTGTGAATAACCAGGATGAGCACTGTCCTGACATCATGTCAGATGCAGCAAGTGCGAAAAATCATCGATCTTTGTAGAAATCCACAAATCTCACAAAATGTCTGTGAAAGTTAGATTATACCTCAGGGTTTTACGGAGTTCACACCGTGTGTTTTCACCAGTGTACCTCTGTTGGCCAACTCTGCCCACACAGCATCCACAGCCATCTGTTCCCCCACAAACAATTCCTGTCCAGAATAACAGACGTGGCAGGGACCATCCTGCAATCACAAAGAGCAAACTATTACCTGCTAGAGTGACAGCAATGGAAACTGAGTCAGATCCTATGGCATTGGACGCATTGCAAGCATAGAAACCCACATCAGCTTCCACAGGTGCTAGAATCTGCAAGGAGTCATCAGGCTGAAGTAGCACCCTGGAGTAAAACAGAAGGAAAGAAGTAGTAGTTTCTTGTTTGTGTGAGCATGAATACATTTACTTGGAATTTTTCAGGTTTAGATAATTTTTTTAATAGTTCAGGCCTTTAGGTTATATTTTAAAATCTGTTAAGAAATTTAAAGCCTTACACCAAGACCATGAGATGTGATTGATTTAATTAAATTTTAATCTCATTCCCAGATCTTCCACTGCTAGCGTGTAGTAGAGAGATTGCTAAGGACATCTACCCATGATTTGTGAAACCTTCTCCTCCCCCTCCTGTATGATGCTGAATGAGTTGCCTAGCCTACCCACCTCCCAGTCCTGCAAAGTAAGCAAAAAGTAAAAAAGTATCAAAAGTAAAGAAAAAAATATATTACTGCAGGTGAAAAATAATGAAACATGCTGAAGCTAGACAGAAAGAAGTGAACCATAGGCTCAGTGTCAAAGCCTGAAATAGGCTCCAAATTAGTTGATTGCTGGACAGTTGGTACAAACTCAACACTTTTCACTGCTCCCAATAGTGAGTGAAGACAGAGAGGAATACTCAGCTCCTCCTTAGGTTTTTCCTTCTTTTTTTTCTTTCTTCTGCCAGTAAGATGAGCCTACCATTATCTCAGTGTATTGCCCATGGTTAAATGGGATGAATATGGCCTTAGAACACTTACAAACTGCTTCTTTTCAAGGTCTGGTTTTGCAGTGGTAAAACTCCATCACATCCTGACATATACTTGTTTAAGTAAGAATTCAGTCCATGGGCTTTTGTCAATGTTTACGTATCTGTATTTTCAACACAGTGTATTTCATTATTATTTCCCTTTCACTTAATTTTTTTGTTTGAAACTGTTGATGAAACCTAATGATAAATTATATTCTCATAAACAACTTTCAGCAGCTGTTGTACGTAAACTGTTCATTGAAGCTGTGATTGACATTGACAAGGGTGAAAGTGAAGTAAAGATATCCCTGTAGAACACATGCAATAAAAGCCTGCTCACAGGTTCTGGAATTGATGAATTTCTTTCCAGTCCCACCCTCCCAACGAAAACTATTGTCTCATAGACAGCAGATACCTGAACTTTGCACAACACTGTGGGTGGTGGATCTCTAAAACAAACCAGATTAGGGCCACCCATCTAAATCTACTACAGGAAAAAATCCAGAGTTAAAATTATTTTTTTGACCTTTTCTTGAGTAATGATAATAATTTTTTGTTATAAAGATCTGCCTTTTGTGTACCAAGTTTTGCAATTGCCTATAAAAATGCACATTTACAAAATAAACATTAATAATTTTTAAATTTCACCTTTGCTTTCACAGAAAAAAAGTTCTAATGGTTAAAAGAATTCGCTTCCCACTTCTGCTTTTGAGGATATTTTACTTCTTACCACTTAGTCATAAGCAGTGTGGACTTCTAGCTAGCCGCTGCTAACAATGCCAGCAACTAAATTTATTTACTTATGAAACTAGTGTTAGCATGCATCAGTGTCTCACACATAAATTGTTTAGTTTAACACTGACCAGTTCAATTTCTACATGGAATTCATTAGAGCTTTAATGAGAGCTATAATTTGTTCCAAGTTATAGTAGTATATAACAGATAAAAGTTGTGCGTGTTCTTCCCATGTGTACAAACACAGTACGTATGCTGATCAGTTAGTCCTACATCAAACCCCTACAACCCCCTAAAAAAAGTTTTCAGAAATGTTTCTGTCACATTCATGTTGAGGAAAGACCTTGCTTAATACTGCACCTGTAAAACACAAGAGATAATTTTTTTTGTTATTAATCAGCTCTGTTGATGTAAATGTCAGTTTAAGACACTTCAGAATCCAGCACAAATATTTTTAGAAATAGAAATAGGCCATGTGTGGTACCTGCCTTTAAAACACATGAACTCCAATGCAGCTCCATCTTACTATGTTATTAACCCAAGTTTTAATATCCTCCTCTAGAAGCAAAACTAATGTCCTCTTCTTTTCAATAATTCTTTCTGTTATTTATGTGTCGCAATTTGGCATAGTTGCTTTTCTTGAAAGCAGACCTCTTATTATCCCTCTTTGTATAGAATGATTTTGGCTGGATTCCCTATTTGCTCATAGATTGCTATTTTTGTTAGGTATTGAGTTGCTTGTTAGTGATGAAAGAAATACCAGGTGTAGCAACTCTTTCTGTCAGCAGCATGTCTTCAGAATCTCGTTTATGGACTTAAAATAATACAGCTTGGTGTTTAATCAGCCTCATCCCAGTTGCTCCAGATCTCATTATCTCCAAGATGAAAATGTATTTTGCTGGACCTACATCAGTGACTAATTCAAATGGCACCTTTCAAACACCTACTGTTTATGTTATACTTCATGTCCACTTATAAAATACATATCTGCTTCAGAGCAGTTGAATTATCAAGTACCAGTGGGTTTCCAGTCATGGAAATTACAGCATATTTGCAAGGCTTGCTAAACAATGCATAAATCCTTTAAAGATTTTTCACTTTAAAAAGTGATTCCTGAGGAAGTTAATCTGCTTGTCTTTGAAAGAAAACATTTTCCATCATTTACAGAAGTCTCCATACTTCAGTGTAGATACTGGCAGGGTCTGAAACTACATTAAAAACCCCCAAATTTTTGTGATAGTACCTAGACTAAATCTAAAGAAATTAAGTTTTGCAACTGAGGACATATAGTAGGAGTTGTAAATACTTTCAGGTGGATGGAACAGCTCATGGAAGGAGGCAATGGGAATAAAACCATCTGTTGCAACATCAGTGGTACAGACAAAATCCACAGCCACAATGCATGAAACTACATGTCTTTGTCTCAATATTTGGTAATACACAACACAGATGGTTATCGCAACCTAAACCCAGCAGTCTACACTCTAAAAAATTAGAGTACAAATCAGATATAACCAAAACCTCAGTATACTTAGTAAGGCATGAGCTGAGGGAGAGCTGTCTGATTTTCCTCACCAAAAGTGTGTGTTTTTGATATTGTTACAGGTAGGCCCATCTGTATTAATTTTCTTATTCCTGTTGAGGCAGAGGTGGTTTGGAAAATTGGTTTATTTTCTCCATTCAGTGGCTGGCAACATAGGAAGAAAAGCTGTGGAGCTGAAAGACAGCTTAGGCACACCAAACACTACTGCATGCAGATAGCATTGCAGTTTACAGAAGTGCAGTCAGACGGCTTAAACTGTGGCTTTCATTTACACAGCTGATTGGCAGCCAGCAAGAGCATTCTGAGCCAAAACCATAATACTGCTGCTAAGAACCCAGCAAAACATCCACAATCCGATTTTTATAAACACCATGATTTCTAAATTTCCATTAACTCCAAAGTGACAAATGCTGAGTATCTCTGAAGCTGAGAGTGCTGCCCTACTTCCTCCTCTGCCCCCAACTGGGAGGAACTATAAAAAGTAGAGAAGGAATTTCTTAAAGTGGAAACAGCCTCAACGTTTAAAGAAAGAGTTGTCAATGAATAATGCTCCCAGCTGGCAAATAAGCTGTACTTCCCTGAGTCTTTCTAAGTGAAATTTTGAGGATATGTATTTGTCTGATAAGTCAGAAATATAACATATTTCTATTATTGTTATTTCAGCCAAACTGAATGGGGGAAAAAAAGGCTGAAAGGCATGGTAATTAAAAACTAAAATTTTAAAAAAAATCCAAACTAAAATGTTAGAAATATTTTTATTGTCAGCTGCATGGATCTGCCTGTTGCTACACTGTGGCTGCTTATATGGTGTGAGATAAACCTGCAATTTTCTCATGAGTTCAGTGTCCAGCATTAACCACATGTGGACTTTATGTAACTTCCATTCCCTTTCAAGCATACCACAGAAATTGAAGTAATTTCAAGCAGAGAAAATAAAAATACCTTAATGGCCCAGTTCCAGCAGGATGTAACCACTGGCAATGAAACTCTATATATGAAACTTTTGGGGGGCCATGAAGATATTTACACTCTCACCATGGAATATGGCCAAATAATGGTATACTATGGACCCAGATCTTGATTAAGGTTGCATGTGATATCCAGAAGAGATACATTCTTGCTCTTAGTATTCCCTTTCCCTGTAAAAGTTACCATGTTTTGTGTGAAACCTAACACATGTACTTGCCTTCAGACACAGAAAGACAAGAACCAGGAAATCCAGTACATTAAAGAAACAATGACTTTGGAGTGATTTCGTTGCCAAAGTGAGAAAGGAGCTAATAAACTGATTGTATATATATGCAGAAGGAGAAATTGTACCTAAATCAAGACTTTACTGGATAATTTGCAGGCACCACACTTGCCTTAACTCCATCTTTTCTTGTTTCCCAAACTGACCTTATGACTAAATTCAGATGACTTAACTGAGGTTCAGTATCTTGTGCAGAAAGAGCTGCTAGTAGACCCCCAGACTGCTTTGTTGTACCATGTTGGTTAATATAACTGCCTCTTACACTCTCTGCCTATCCTTATATACCATTTTCTCACAGAATAGAACCACAGTATAGAATCTTAAGTATACACATGGGAAAAATGTATGTTATCAACACAATTAAGCATGTAACTGGCATAGAAAACAATCTCTTTTTGTGTACTTTTGCACACAAATTAATAATGTGGAATGATTGCCACCTGAGTTTTATCCTGGAGCAGTTTTACACACATATATGTTTGTGGAAAACAGAAGCCTCACTTCCACCATCTTCTGCTACAACAATCATGTCAGACAGACCCTGCTGGAGCACTGTGAGAAATGCAAATCGTATCTCCAACAGATAGTAATAGCAATAAATAATATTAAATTTCCACATCTCAGAACCAATCTTCATAGCAAAAACCTCAAATTTCAGATGGGAAAATATAATAAGAATCCCAGCCTTCAGAAGTGGAGTGCTTGGCTGACTGCATTAGGCACTGATCTACTTTACTACTTTAGAAACCCTTCTTTTTACTTACTGAAACAGAAGTAAAGCTCCTGTTTGCCACACCAGACTGACCTAGCACTCAGACCTTGCTGCAGAGTTATAGTGCCCTGTTTGCCACTTCACATGTGTTAGTCCTTCTTTCTGCTATGAAATCAGACTACAGCAAAATGTGGTTTTGTCCATGGAACTGACAGGCAGCAAAACATGGAAACTGAAGAATGAAATTATTAAGTATTTTCTTAAAAGTTAAATAGCATGTTTTACCTATCATTGTATTTCACCTCCTCTCCATTCTTAGCCCAGCTGATAGTGGGCTTTGGGTTTCCCACTGCTTCACAGTGAAGCAGCACACTCAGTGTGCCACTGGCTAGGACCACTGTCTGTCCCAGGTGGGTAATAACCTCTGAAGCAGAAAGCTGTTGTGCTGCTGAAAACTTTCGGAGGATGGCAGGCTTCTGATGAGGTCTGCGTAAGCTGGTTGCCAGGTCTACAGAAGTAGGAAGATCTGCTTCCGCAGATGATGTTCTCAGAGAGCTGGTAAATCCAGAAACATGTCTGTGAGGCTGGTACCTCACCGAGGTTGAATCTGCCCTTTGCCCTGGCGTTTTGAGGACAGATTCCTGGTGCTCCAAGTAGCTCTTGAAAATATCACGAGCTAGCTGCACAAGCAACTGCTCAGTGTAGACATCTTTAAGCTCCTCAGACTGTTGAGACAAATTCCTTATGATTTCATCCAAGCGTTTCTGCTCTGTGAACATAGTAAATGGCAGACTATACTCCTGACTACGGTCTTCCTCTGAGGATACATTTCTCTCTGTGGACTCCTGGGCTTCCCAGGTCTCCAGATTTTCCCCTGGCCAGCCTCTGTGCTGTAGCAGCCTTGAGACAATATCGTCATACCACCTGCTGGGGTGCGCAAGATGCCCTCGCTTTTCAACCTTGCTCCCGTTGAAGAGAATCCCGTTGATATGTTTCTCCTCTGTTTGCAGGGCTTCACTGAAGCTGGCCTTTCTCATGGCCTCTTCCTCCCTAATACTGGTTGGCTGCCCAGCAACAACCTTCTTATTACTTCCAATTAGTTTAATTACAAAATGCTCCCGGGCTGGCCCTGCTGTACAGGTGTATGTCCCGATGTCTGACGTCTTCAGACGATGGATTTTGATGTACCCGTAGGGCGCAATGGTGATGTGACCTGAGCTGACAAGCCTCTTGTCATCCTTTTCCCAAGTGATCATTGATTTCCGGAACCTCCTTGTAGGGCATCGGAGAATAACAGAGGTTTTGGGTAGCAGGTAGGCATACCCACCCACAATAAAATGTAACTTCTTCTGCTTCCTTGTCTGGATGTAAACTTTCTTTACAGCCATAATATGTGGGCTTTGCTTATGAGCTGGCCTGTTGTGCCCTGGAATATCATTAATACTATTAGTATGGGATACCATTAAACAAAAAAAGCAGTTTACTTTGGTGTGGGCAGCATCTTACCCATTGGACAGTAATGGGAGAAATTGGCCACCAACTGCTGAATATTAAGCTGGAGCAATCAAAACAAGAGGAATAACAAGGTATACTGTAGGAATGCAAAAATAGTCCCGCCCAGGGTACATGCAGAAACCAAAGAGCCAGGGACAGAAGCTTCATGGGAGGGAGAAAATTTGAGTGGAAATGTAGTTCTTATTGTTGAAGTATTTAAACGAAGATTGTTGCTTAATAAATACATTCAAAAGACTAGTGACTACCATCCAAACCCCCAAAGGCAGCATGACCTTGCAGGTCACAGCAGTAAGGAAGAATGAAAGTACTGCTACCTCAGGGAGTAAGATCTGAGAAAACAAAACTGTCTGGACTAGGGTGAAAAACACAGTACAATTAAAATGCACTAGTAATGTAATGTAATGTAATGTAATGTATTCTATTCTAGTCTAGTCTAGTCTATTCTATTCTAGTCTATTCCATTCCATTCTGTTCCAGTGTGTCCTTCCAGTTTCCAGACCTCTGTGACAGAGATCTTTGTTATGAAGATCTAAATAAAGCAGCATAAGTATATTATTAGTTAACACTTACGCAACATTTGGTCCCAGCTTTGGTTCTAAATGTCAGTTCTTTTCTCCCTGACATACCCAACATTTAGCATTTTCAGAGTTCACAGTCAGACTTAAGCTGAAGCTGGACTGACTTTCAAACTTTTGCATATTCAGTTTGCTTTCTGCAAGCCAGGGAAGGACACACAGAGAGACTACTGCTCTCATGAAGGGTAACAACAAATGTGTCAAATATCAACATAACATACACCTAACTTATGCTGCATGGTTCATTAGAAACCCCATGTTGTGGAAGGTTCTGGGTGACATAATGAAATAGTATGTCTTTACATGATCCAAACAAAATCCCTTACCAACCATTTTCTTTGCAAGTGTTCTAGCAGAGAACACTTGCAGACAGTTTATTTGCATCTTCCCTCAGGCTGCTGTGCTGTATCTCTGACCCTGTACATTCCAGTTGTGAAATTTATATCTAGACTTGGATCAGAACTTTGAGCCAGTTCTTCCAGAAACTAGTAGCTTCCTTCCAGCACATTGGCTCAGATCCAGCTCCAACAGTAAAATTTATAGCTCTTATCCACTAGCTTGCCTTATTACTAAACAAAGCCTCCTTGTTCACAGACAGAAAAACTCAGCAGCAGCAGCAGCCACTCTGCAAGACTAAGTAACACTAGTGCAAGAGAAGGTTATGGAACAGGTGACAGTATGGATTTCTTAGTGATGGACATCCAAGGCTCCTTTCCCCAGACACTCCCAAACACCTTTTCCACCTACTTGCACAGGTGCCTAGTGCACAGGGTCTGATCAAGGATGAGAATGGCAAAGGTGAGCACAGTGAGGAATTGATGATGACAAACCCCCCGGTTTTCAGCATCTTTCTGCAAATGGCATTTCGGCTCTGGATGCCCTCTCCACAGCTCACTGAACACTAGGAACAGAATAAGAAACATTATGAACAAAGTGTATTAAATGCAAATGGGTGCTCCTTGTCACACACACCCTCTCACCTCCCATATCCACATTGCATACTCATAACATGGTATACAGATCAGTTACAGCTTTCAAAATGTCGCAGTGGAATAAAGCAGAGCAGCACCTGGTCATTCAGTTATACAGAGTGCAGGCACAGTAGGAAGATGAAACATGAAGTATTTTCTGTTTCTTGAGGCTTTGAAACTTCCCACAGTCCCTTTAGCTTTTTTTTTCTTTCTCTCAGTGTCCCTTGTTTTAAAGGTACTGTGCTATCGTACAAAGCCTGTCTTTAATCTTTGTTTCTATATCTGTGTCTGCTGCCTGGAAAAACCCAAGCTCACAGCCAAGAGCAGACTACATTGAGTTGCACTTCACAGATACATCCAGTTCTGCTAAAATCTGGCTTAAACTTTTCTTTGAGCTTTACTGTTGCAGATCTATTAGAAAAAATAAACGTATGACTGTTTTGGATACCATTAAGTTACCTTACCCTGGTACTTGCCACATGGCTTAGACAAAGGAGTATTAAACACTTTAATACCAGACTGTGGTGCTCAGTGCACAGGTGGGCATTGTTTGATGGAATTCAGCATGCTTATTTTATGTCATGTTTATGTATACAGCATCACAGAAAGTGAGAATACAGGTGTGTCATTCCACTAGGACCCAGGCAGCAGTCTGTAAAGGTGCTGGAAAGTGGATTGAGTGCTTTAAAGTTAGTAGCACAAAGATAGACATGCACTTCTGTTACATGTAGGTGTCTGTGTGGTAATGGGAATAGGTGATGAAGAGAGGAGGAGAAAACTCACCAAGGATAAGAAGAGCAAAAATAGCAGCATTACAAGAGGCTCATAAGGATAAGAGAAGCAAAAACATAGCAGTGAAATGAGGAGAGAGTGAAATGAGATTTTAATAAATGCCAATATGCAGAAATGTGAGTTGTACAGATGTCAACATAACCATGGAGCAACTTCTTGTGAAGTAGGACAGATTTGGACTACAGTCACAATCTTCACTGCCAGAATAGCTATGTGTCTTCTGGCAGCACACTCCATGAGAACATTCCCTTATTTGAGTAAAATGTTAAGGTAATTCAACATATGAAGAGTCCAGGTGGGACCACTCTGTGAGGTGACATGTTCCTTTAATCGCTAAGACTGTTTCCACCTTCTTCCATGAAAGAACTTGAAGAGTGGTGGCAGAGATTGCAAGATGGGGAATGATTTTCATGCTTATTGGCATTAAAAGGTCAAATTATATTTTCAGTTATACTGTCATAAGCATAAAGGGAATTTTTCTTAAACCATATGGAGTCAGAAAGGGAGCCTGGTGAAGTGTGAGAGACTTCAGTAGAGTGCATTTATTTTGCCATCTCTAAATTGAATGAAGGAAGTAGCTAGCTAACATTGCAAAAGCTGTGTCCTAGAGTGAAAGAGGCTTGGTTTGTAATGGTTATAGCAGCCTGCAGGAATCTCTTTCTGCTCTGCATCACAGCAATAAGTTGGAGGGGCCCCAGGAGGAAACAAGTATTGACATTCAACAGCCAGGCTTTGGGAAGAAAACACATTCAGCAAGAGGGAGTAAAGTTTGCTCTTTGTTGATGCCTTGGATGAACACAAGCACAGGTATGGACAGAGGCAGGGATTTATTGTTTACACCAGAAGGGAAGTCCTAATGGTTTGTCTGGATGGGTGAACCACATCTGTGGAGGCAATCTCCGAAGAGGAATGTTGAGCTAGTGTCCTACCAGAATGATAAGGACAGATTACAGGACAAAACTGGGCATAACATGCTTTGTGAAGTCTGAGCTCATTTGGCTTCTCTATTCCAAGTGACTGAGAAGCTTCATTGCCAAGAACAGCACAATACTCATGTATCAAACACCATACCTCTGTCCAGTGAGAAAGAAGCCACTCATTGGGACAATCCTCATTTTTGCAGGCTTGTTGGATAACTGGCCTTGGTGTGGAGCAGAAAGTTTCTGGCAGCTCTATCAAGCTTCCATCTGCCAGGCGCTGCTTACAAAGTGTATCTCGCTTCTGAACACCACTGCCACATGTCTGCGAACACTGTGGGAGATGAGAGTCAGACACCTTATGTCACACTTACACCATGGCAACTTGCAGCAAAAATTACTTGTGAATTTGGGTAGGAATCAGCACTCAGTTTCGGTCAAATAGAAAATATTAAAAAAACTATCTGGAGATGTCAAAGCAGACTTCTTTTAAAAACATCCAAAATATTTTGGAAAGTGGAAGAAGTTTATTTTGGTATTATTTAGAAAAATTGCTTCAGTACTTTCAAAATGTTCTGTTTTCAGGAATTTATACAAAAGACACCAAAACAATGGGTCAGAACTGTAGCATGAAGATGGAAAAGTTGTCCTTTCCTGTAACAACCAAGAGAAAAAATGAGACACTTGCATGTGATGCAGAGGATCTACATGCTAGTGTCTCTTTCTGAGCTCTGACTATGCTATTGACAGTGCCAGAGAGAGTGGAAATCTTCTCCAGCAGCAGCAGGTGATTCAAGACCTTAATTTCCAGGATTTGATTATGCATATTAGAAAAGAGTAGCTATGAGATTAGAAAAGAGTAGCTATGAGGTAAATAGCTTGAACTAGATACTCAAATTTAGCTTGTTAAAAAAAGGTTTGTATTAGCAAGAAAAACAAGTGGATAAATTTGAGACTGTGATAAATAACAATTTCCCCTATCATTTTGCTTTTCCTTCCTTTTGTAATTTTCTCATTTCTTGTTTCTGTCCTACATGAGGCTTATTACTAGAGCAGCTCAAAACTTAACTGCCCAGCCTAGAATTCCTGTCCTTGAAGGCTTCTTGCACTATGGTATTCCTCTGATTTTTAGTTCATGTGAAATCTGTATATCAGATGCAATCTGTGGTTAGTCTCAGTAATTGGTTTATCATGTTAATGTAAAAAATCATTAAATATCCATGTAGCCTTTTTGTATTTTTGTATGCAGCTGTAATGACAGCAGTGTGTACTCTTTCCACAAGATAAGGTTTGAAACAAAGTAAAATGGAACGATTAATATCCAGAGAACCCACTTCCCCTCTCTCTTTAATGTAAATGTGCCTCTCTGTATCCATATTATAGCCAAGCAGAGCAGGAAATTTAGAACAAAGAGATTTAATAATTTTCATAGAATCATAGAATCC